AATGGAGAACCTATAAGCGAACTAGCCCGCTGAATGATCCGTTTTATTGATGGGATGGGTGGAAGCGCAGCATAAAGGGATGGGGAACCCCTGCTATTAAAATACTTATAATTTTTTGAGGTTTATCAATCATCTCAATGGCATGTTTTTTAATGTTAATAAAGCATTCGGTTAAGGCCTAAGTAGCTACTAACACATGATTATGATTATCAAACTTTTTATTTAATGTATGGCACAGCCCTTTGCAACTGGCAGGTCTACCTTCCAATAATTTATTATAATCAACACTCTAAAAATGACTCATCTCAGTCTTAAATGGAAAAAAATTAAGTCAAAAATTATAATCTAAATATAATCGCTGTTAAATATCATTGGAAAATACCAACCTCTAGAAAGAGACATCCCTTTTGTTAAAAAATTAAGTCAAAAATTATAATCTAAATATAATCGCTGTTAAATATCATTGGAAAATACCAACCTCTAGAATGAGACATCCCTTTTGTTGATCCCCTATCAATATTCTAATTAATTATTTGATAATTATTGGACCAACCGATTAAGATTTTAACCAAAATAATATGTGATTCGAGATAGAATAGAGGTCCAAACCTTTCTTGCATCTATTTGCAAAATCTCCAGGCAGATATAATATTGGCTAAAATCTTAATAAGGCCGCTTAACAACACTAATCAACATACCTTATAACATGATAAATTGGCCCACCAAAAAAATTGATATAAATATTGGTTTGTTAATTTTTTTGATGTTATTAAATTTTTTTATTGATATAACACCTCTAAATAAAATTGAGATTGTGAAAAAAAATATTTGAATAAATACTTAGCCAATATTCAAAATGACTTCTGTTTAATCATCCCTTTGTTTTATATTAAAAATATATAATACAGTCAAAACCGTTTAATTGCGAAAGCTTGGGACCGAAATATTTAAAAATTTCGCAATTATCCGATTTTTCGCAATTATACGATTAAAATTCAACAATTTATTTATTAAAAATCAGTTTGTGTTTTTTATAAAGATATTTATCATCTATATATATTTTAATCAAATAAGCCATCAAACTTTGCAATAAATACAATTTTTAATTAATGTAACCAACTATATATTTTAATTTGAATAAGTTATGTAACGAATAAAAAAACTAAATTTTAAAAATTTATCTTATTTGTTGAAACATATGATCATAGCTTTTTTTTTCTTCCCACCAATAATCCTATATTTTTATCGTCAAATCATCAAGTTATTATTTTATAAAAAGTATTCAATTAATTTAGATCAATCAAATAATATTAAAATATCTGAAGCACTTGAAAGTAATGTGATATATTTTGATATATATACTTTCTCTAGATCTAGACATGATTATAGACAGAAAGGAACAAAGAAAACAAGACTTAATTATAAAAAGATTGTAATTATTTATGTATTAGCATTATAGTTGTTGATAAATTATTTTTTATTGAATAAAATTATAATTAAATTTGTTTACTTGATTTTATCTCATTTTTTATTTAAGATATGTAAGAATTAAAGCAAAAAAAAGCTTTTATGAAAGATAATAACATTTTTTCCTTTACAATACCCTAATATTTATTTCCATTAATTTTAACTACTTTTGTCATTTTACCTTCATTAAATTTACTGAAATATAATTTTACACAAATATATTATCACTTTTTAAATTCTAATTTATTATTAAAGCCAAATTTTAAAATATTTTGCCTAAAAAACTGGAAACAATAAGATTAATATAAAAGAATTTAAGTTTATTAAGTGTTTTGTTTTCATTCACATGATATTTGATTTAAAATCCTATGCCTATTCAAATCTTATAAATTCTAATATTATAAATGTAAATGTATTAACAGACCATGCTGGAATGAAAGTTTATTAATGCTTTATAACATAAGATTTTATTTGAACTAATTTTATTATACATGTATCACAATTATTATAAAGTAATATAAGATTTAATAAAAATATTTTGTGATAAGAGTTTGGCTAGACTCTGGAGTAAATAATTCTTTTTCCACTATATTCTCTAGCTTTCTTATGATCAGATATCTCTAGGTTCCCTTCGTCATTCTTGGAGCTTTCATAACCTTCTATAAAAAATAAGATTAATTAAAATTTTAAGTAATTAAACCTTCCAACTCTAATCTTATCTGATTACAAATATCCTGATCATCTAAAATTCCATGGCAGCTAGCATCATCATCGTGTAACACATATTCTTCAAATATGGGATCAAATTCATCTTCTTCGTAGTCAGTTAATGCTATTTCATCCTCCGATTCCCAATCAAATGCCATAGACTTATCAAAAAATTTAGCTTCAATAAAACACTTTATGATTGTGGTACTTGTCACCTCACCCCATGCAAATTTTATAAGATAGAGGCTATCATATAGTGTAAATCTTTAAAAGAAATGGTGTCATTTCCTTCCATCAATGTTATCATTTTTCTCATGATACCCTTTCTATAATGACATTTAAAGGATCTAATTGCACCCATGTCCAATGGTTGAATTAATGATGTTGTATTTGCTGGTAAAAAAATTAATTTTATATTGTTAATTGTTAATTTTGTTTTGTGACAAGATGCATTGTCACAAAACAATAAAATTTTCTTCTTTAATGAGGAATCCCATTCTTTAAGAATATCTTCAAAAGTTGAGGTTGTCATCCAGCTGCTTTTATTGGAGTAGTATTTAACTGGTAATTTTTTATTTTTAAAGCACCTAGGGTTTTTAAATTTCCCTACAACATATAACTTTTTATCAGATCCATCCCCATTTATGATAAATAGAACTGTGACCTTTTCCTTGTCTGGTTTGAAGCCCAGTGGTTGAGTTCCACTAAATTCCATTGTGCCCTTTGGTAATGCTCGGTAGTATAGTCCTCATCACAATTGTAAATATTACTCCTTTGATAATCTTTAATCAGAGATGAGAGTGTATTTCTGCTCCATTCATTTGCATTAATAATATCTGCACTCCCCTTTTCATTGCAAACATTATGAAAATTTATATTCTGTCTTTTCCTAAATCTCTGCAACCAGCTGCTAGTAGGAATGCCTATAATTTATATATATATATTATAAAAACTTATAATTACCTTCATTGAATGTTTGGCTAAAAAACATAGCTTTTTCTAACATCACTAGCCCATTTAGACTGCAATTTTTACTTCGCATTTGTGTAAACCAAACCAATAAAGCTGCTTCTGTCTTTGGGTAACAACTCATTCTAACTCTTTTAGTTGTAGGAGGTTTATTCCTTAGAAATTGTGAGCATAGATTTTCTTTATTCGCTATTAAACGGTAGATTGTCGAGACGTGGCAATTGTAATTTGATTCTAATTGTGTTTTTGATGTAGTGTTTAATTTATCAATTATTTCTTTTTTATGCTTCAGGGTTAATGTTTGGAATGATTTTTTTACCATTTTTATATTAATTTCTGGCGTGGTAATGAATGAATGAATGAATGGAAAAAGGTTAAATAAAAAAAATGATGAATAATTTTTTTCGATAAATTTTTTTTATTTTTTCACTTATCCGATTAAATTAACGTTATTGTTATATAAATGGGACCTGAAAAATTTTGCAATTATCCGATATTTCGCAATTAACCGATTCGCAATTATAAATGTAATTTAACATTATACCATAGTAATTATTATCAAAATCGCGGGGTTTTTTCGCATTTAAAAGTTTTTGCACTTAAGCGATATGCAATTAAACGGTTTTAACTGTATATTGCAATTGTATTAGAAATGCGCCGAATTTTCAGCGCCAAAATTTCTGCGCCTAATTGACGTGAAACCCCGAATCAGAGTGCATTTATATATATATTAAATACATCATGGAGAAATGGATCTTCATTCATCTTCGATTTATTAAAAGCTGAATTACTTCTAACACAGTGGGGGGCTCATTTAAAAAATATACAAAATTAACAAAAAGGGAAGTAATTCTACCATAAAAGAGCAAAAGCACAAAAATGTAACTCTATATAGAATGTGCAAAAGGACTATATCTAAAAAATCTTAACATTTATTTAGAGGCTTTCCTAAGTTTTAGAGATCTTGAACCCCTTTGCCTTCTCCTAGTGAGCCATCTGGTCAAACAGAATTGAATTGATTGGGTAGCTGAATAAATTTCCCCCAAAAATGCAACTGTAAAAAAAATATTTCAATCGTATACAATAGTTTACTATATATAATATTTTTATTTTAGGATATATTGTAATAAGGATGTCCCGCGAGCCCCGTTTCAGCACCTTTTTTTGAAAATATCTATATGACATTAAAAATACGGCAGTTTTAGTATATAACACAAATTAAGGTTATTATAGATGTAAAATTTATTTGATAAAACAAAATCTTATAAGCATATACTTTAAAAATTGGCGTCTACTGTCTAAAATCAGAAAATTTCGCTCACCCCTTCAAAATCTTATATGTCCACCTAAAAAATATCGCTACCCAGACAATTATACTATGTTCATGTTATTATTAAAATATTAACCACCATTTCAAACAAAATCCTAATTATAACTCTTTCAAGCATCATAATTCAGATTAGAACGACTAAATATTTGTCGGGAATATTCAAGTAGTTGTTACATATGAATCTAAATAAGATCTGCGAAGCGAACGAATGATAGTCCTTATTAAGGCGAAAATCAACGGTTTTTTAGTTATCGTTCATAAGTAATAATAAATTAAGATAAGGGATGGTATCCTTAAAGAATTTAATAGCCGGACCATAAACCAACTAAAAGATAAGACAATAGTTACATCTTATATATTTCCATCCTAATATATTATTGCTTAAAAAAAAGTAAAAAATAGCTCTGGTTGAATTCAGGGGTATATATTAATTCCTGATAGGTTCTTCCATATCAATTACTCTAATGTTTGATTTATATTTTTATATTTGTTTTTATTATTTTCCAATGTTGAATGAGTGAATACCCCACGTTTTAATAACTGTCATATTATTTTCGGTATCATCTTTATTTATTAGTCTTCAATTGTTTAGAACATAATCATTCCATTGCGATTTATGCGAATTATAACATTATGAATCAAAAGAATATGGATTTTCATCAGCAAAGTAAGGAATATTCGATTAATAAATAATGGAATCATTTATATAAATGCTTATAATATTTTATTTTAATATATAAAATAACTTACAATTATATTGACAATCATTAATTAAAATTTCCCATATATAAACCTTGCATCTTGATGTAATAATTAATTATCAGCATATTCCCAAGATATATCAAATTTATAAATATATTAGCATGGATGCACTAATACTTTATAGTAATGGTGCATTTTTTCAATTTCCAGTGGCTGACACCAAAAATGATATAACCTTATAGTAAAATAAAAAAAATACATAAATTTTTTTAAACAGGTAAAATTGCTAAAATAAAAATTTGGAATTTTAAATATATCTCTTATAAAATTTTTAAAGATTACTTATTTGATTAAAACAATATTGATTTTATTATTTATAAATGGTGAAAAGAATTTAAATGAAATTGCAATTAAATAAGGAAATAATTGTATTGAAAAAATATAGCAATATAATAATTTTTCAAAAAATTAGGGCTTAATAAATTTTATTTGACTGACAGTAATTTAAAATTAATGAATAAATGTTGTGCTATTCAACAGTAAGCTCTGTTATAGAAATGATATATTATAATTCATAAACAAAAGTAGCATTGGTAGCCCAACTTTGTTTCATAATATAGGTGCATAGAAAGACAAATAGATGACATTTATGCATCTTGTATCTGATAAATGCTACTCTTAACAATTTTTGGGATATATTAAAACAATGAGAATATTTAAATTTAATTTCATGATATGATTTTGGCTTAATCCTATATAAAAATTTGACTGATTATATTGTAAAATTATACAACTTTGAAGCAAAATATTCCCTTGGTAACCAATGCATGGCAAAAGATTATAATAGAAAAACACTTGTAAAATTCCTTTCAACTTAAATTTGCTGCTTTAAGACATGTCCTAAAATGATAATTTTCTATCACCTATGCCTATATCTATAATATTAATTTTAATATTTTATACAATTATCTTTCTTATGATTATTAAAAATAACTAACCTAATTATTCTCATGTAATAAAAATATTGTCCCATGTTAATTATTGACATTCTTACAACATACGATAAGTAAATTAGTTAAAATAAAATTTTAATTTCTAAAAAATATTTTGGTAAAATAATTACATGTTCAAATTTTAAAATATTAATAAATAATGATATCTATAATATAATTTTTTTTGCATTTCCTAGATTTTTTAAAATAATTGGCATAATATTATCTGATTTGGAAACTGAATAGAGGTATTTTTAGAAAATAAATACCACAGACTCTGGAAAAACCCATTCCTTAATAATTTATCTAAAAAATTATAGTTATTAAATTTTTATTTTATTATCACCCAGTATCCCATTTCTTTAAATTATTTGTTTTACTAGTGGTTTACAATGGGTGGGTTTATGGCCCACAAGACTACCCATCCAATGGTTAAAATAATTAAATTTGATTTTCATTGCTCATTAGTCTAAAATTCTTTACCTGCCTTGATCTAAATTATTTACCCACTATTTATAAAAAAAACCATGCCAACTCATAAAAAATTTAAATATGCCCATTTTTTCAATTTTTTTAGCATCTAATAAAAAATAAAGATTCAGCTCCAGTGTTACACACCTACAAAAAGTTTTGTAATTTAGGAAATTCTATATTAAGCATTCAACCCATAGAAATTCAGATTATAAAAATCTAAATACATATGCTTCATGGGTTCATTTTCCAAGCAGCCAGAATGATCTGAGATCTTTTTCCCCTTCCCTTCTGTGTTTATATCATTTTTTCTCTCTTTCTCATATTAAGAAATATATATGTATCTTATTTTCTTATTTATATTTGTGATTTTAATATAAAAATTTTTCTTATATTTGTGATTCTAATTTATAAAAAAGTTCCTTTCTTAAATATTAATTTCTGTATGAATTAAATTGATTTTTCTCATAAATATATAATTATTAATTTATATCATTATTTAATCTATTTACACATTTATAATGTATTTATATTAGAGATCTGCAAAGTTAGGCCCGGCCCGTACCCGGCCCGAGATAACCCGGCCTAAACGGGCTTCGGGCCAGGCTCGTGCCTAATTCTATTTAAAATAATTGGGCCGGGCCGGGCCTAATATTTTTAAAAAAAATTCGGGCCAGGTCGGACCTTGGAAATTTTATTAAATATATCTAAATTTATCAATTTTATATTGAATTTTTTATGTAAAATAAAAAATTTTTTAATTTTTTGAAACTAAACGCTATATAACATATGTCTTTTATTTTAAGTAATTATAAAAATTAATTTCTGTATTTAAATAAATTTGGGCCAGGCCAGTAAATTTTTTTAAAATAAATTTCGTGTTCGGGCAGGGCCGGCAAAACTTTTTTAAAAATAATTTCGGGCTGGGCTTGAAAAATTAGGCTCTATGATATTTTGATTACAATTATAAATTAATTTTTATATTAATATATTTTAGATAGACAAATATACTTTATTTTTTATAAACATTTTGATATATAATTTTATAATAATATTTAATATATCGTTTGAGTGGCCTAATGGGTTAGATGTATGCTTGGAAACAGAGAGACACAGAGGACACAGGTTTCCTGTCAAGGAGAATAAAAACTTTCAGGTTTTTCTTCGATGACTGATGTGTAAAGACATATGGTAAGATGAATTTCGGAGCTTAGAGTTGACACCCCGGTCACCGACAGGCCTGGACAGCCGGGTGCTAAAGATACTTGTCCAATAAACAAAATGAAGGAAACAAATGGAAATATGAATATGAAAGCTAGGTTCCCTCCAAGCGACGAGCAGGGTGTAGACCTCCATCCTGCGAAAAGTAAAATAAAGGTCAAAGCACAAGATTAGCAAGTTTGAATATTGGGACACTTAAAGGTAAGACAAGAGAATTGTCATCAATGTTGAACAAGAGAAAAGTTTATATAGCATGCATACAAGAGACAAAATGGAAAGGTCAGATGATTGGAGATGGGTATAAATCGTACTATAATGGAATTGTTAGCAATAGGAACTGTGGCATCCTCCTCAGTCAAGATCTAACCTCCTCAGTAGTAGAAGTCAACAGGATCTCTGTTAGATTAATGAAGATAAAACTCTGCATTGGTCAATCAATACTACACATCCTTTCAGTATATGCTCCTCAAACGGGTTGCAAGGAAGAAGAGAAAGATAACTTTAGTGCTATCCTCGATGAAGCTGTAATGGAAATCCCTAAGGATGACCTAGTCATAATAGGTGGTGACTTTAATGCACATGTGGGAAAAACAAGAGATAGCTACAAAAGGCATCATGGTGGTTTTGGATACAGAGAAAGAAATGATAAAGGAAAGCATGTACTGAAATTTGCGCAAGTCTTCGACCTTGCCTTAATTAACACCTACTATAGGAAAAAAGACAGTCATTTAATAACATATGAAAGTGGTACAAGGAAAACACAGATAGATTACATGCTTATCTCTCGCAGAAGATTAAAAGATGTAATAGACTGCAAAGTCATCCCAGGAGGAGATATAGCCGTTCAACACAAGCTACTAGTCATGGATTTACACATCACAAATAAATCCACTCAAAACAAGTTAAAATTGGAACCATGCATCAAATGGGGTTAATTAAAAACAATGACAGATGCCTTTGCAATCAATGCAATAATTGAAACAATAGATTCCTCACAAATCAGTGAAAAAATGTGGACAGACCTTTCATCCAGATTAATAGACACTGCCAAATCGACACTAGGCTTGACAAAGGATTCAACAAATCATACAAAGAACTTTGGTGGTGAAATGAAGAGGTACTAACCACTATACAGGAGAAAAAAGCCTTTTATAAAATATGATACAAATCCAAAAACTCAGATGACAAGACAAGATACGAAAAATCTAAGAGAATAGCTACAAAGGCGGTGGCTAGGGCCAAATCTATGGCATACGATGACATGTATGAAGAACTACATACCAAAGAAGGGCAAAATAAAATATACAGATTAGCCAAACAGCGAGAAAAGTATTCTAGGGTTATAAATGGAGCTCCGAAACTAATCAAAAATAAAGATGGGAAATTGATAATAAAGGAAAAAGAAATTAATGAATAGATGGAAAGAATATTTTCAGGAGCTTCTCAACTTTAATCCCCACATACTATATCTAGACGAACACTCCCCATGTCAAAACCTTGTCCAACCTATATCAAAACAAGAAATAATCACATGCCTCAAGCATTCCGTAGCACAACAGGTAAAGGGTCGGCTCTCAGCCCACTTCTCTTCATTACAGTAATATATGTATTAGCACAGTCTTTACCTCAAACAGTCCTGTGGAATATGATATTTGCAGATGATATTGTGATACTTGCCGAATCCAAGGATGAAATAAAAGAAAGATTAGTGAGTTGGATAAATATCCTAGAAAAGCACGGACTAAATGTAAATAGAGAAAAGACCGAGTATATAGTGATAGGAGGAGATGAAACAGAGAGTATTGATATAAATGAATGGCAGATATCGGCAATTGAAAGCTGCAAATATTTGGGCCCACCATACAAACAAACGGCACAATAGAAAAAGAGATAAAGAGTAAAATTAATCAAGAGTGGTTAAAATGCAGATCTTTATCTGGAGTGCTATTTGACAAAAGAATTCCACCAAATTAAAGGGAAAAATTTACAGTTCCATAGTTCAACCAACTATTCTATATAGTTCGGAAACATGGCCAACCAAGGAATCAGACGAGAGAAGTCTACAAACTTGGAGATGAGAATGCTGAGGATGATTGCTGGGTAACAAGAAAGGATAAAGTGCACAGTACAAGAATACTAAGTAGTTTAAAGGTAGTGCCCATTAAGACTAAGTTAATGGTAAACAGACTTAGGTAATATGGGCACACAATGAGAAGGCCTATGAACTACATTGAAAATTAGGTTGAGAGTTTGGAAGTGATGGGCAAATGTAAAAGAGGAAGGCCAAAACTTCAATGGGGCCATAAAGTTAGAGCCAATATAAAGAAGTATAAATTAGATAAAAGAGATTGTATGAATAACATAAAGTGGAGAGAGATGTTGAAGGAGCTTACCACCAGAAAAGGTGAAAGCTAAAGAGAAAAAAATAAAATTAATATTTAATATCTTTTAATTTTAAAATAAATTGTTAGAAAAAATATTTTAAAAAAGATAAGGAATTTATTTCAATTAAAATATTTTGAAAAAATATAAAATTAATATTGAAATTATTTGTAATTATAATACATAATGAATCCACATTTTCTGGATTTGAATACATTCTTCTTAGTTCTAAAAACATCCCAGCATTACTTAATCCTCTTTTCAGAATAAGCACATTGCTGGAATTGGTAATATTTTTCTAGCTAATCTTAATTGCTTAGGTAAATCTTTTTCTTGTCATTTCCACCAGGATCTTCCTCAGATGAGATCCTTAGATAAAAAGTGAGGCCATAATAAATTTAAAAAAAATAATTTAAAATTTTAATTAATTGTTTAAATATTGTAAACTAAACGAAGTAGCCTAAAATCTTGTTGGATTATACAAATTAAACTCATTACTTTAAGAGTTATATTTTGTTATGTCATTAGGTACAATGCTCTCCTTTCATCCTCTCACCTGTTGTGGTTTAATTTTAATGTTGTTGCTATCTATTTCAAACATTGCATTTATAATTTAATACCCTCTAATTGAATTCTCTTTGCTTTGGGGGGTAAAATCAGATTTTTATCCACTTTAATATTATATTCTTCCATGCAAATTAATTCCAACATGTTTTCGATATATTTTTTTACTTCATTAATTTTTATAAGAACTTTGGTATTAAAAATTTTGAAATTTTATGGAACATATTTTCTTTAATGTTTACCTAAATTATTTTAAATAACAAATAAAAATAAAAAATTTTTTTAACCTTTAGGCTTTTTAAAATTTTTTAAACCCACAACCCTCTTATAATTTAACTTTTTTTAGCCTTGCCTGCCATTGAATTTTTGAAAAATTTTTATTTCGCCTAAAAATCCACCAGTTGCATACCTCTAAATTTTACATTATACATATTTTTTTAAGGGCTGTGCCGATATTAAACATCGATCGGACCGGTAACGTTATTTAACGTTTTCTAAAAATATCGGATCGGGCCGATACCTGTAAAAACCGATCCGATTCGATCTTTTTAACTTTTTTTTGTTATTTTATGTTATGTTTATTTATTTTACATTATTATAATATTTTCTAAATAATTTTTTAAAATTTTATTTCTTTTTTAAAAATAGATTTATAGTATTTTATAGTGTTGTTAAAGGGCTCGTTTTGAACCGATTTTTAAAAACGGCTAACTCAGTATTTTATCCAGAATAATATTACGCAAGCATGAAGATTTTGTTTGTAGGAGGAACAAAGGTTTGGACAACTATTAACGAAATCTCGAGACTTAAGCAATACTTTTCTGGCTAAAATATTGAGTTAGCCATTTTTAAAAATCGGCTCAAAACGAGCCGTTTAACAACACTAGTATTTTAAAAGTTTTTTTTTATAAAAATAGAAAGGAACACCCAAAGTTTTATTTATTTTAAATTTTTTCAAATAACGCCAATTTTTTTATTTATACTTTAAATAAAAGAATTTTTTTTAAATATGGTATCTGAATTGTGGAAATATTTACAAAAGACAAAGATAATTTTGCAAAACGCGTTATCTGCGGAATCATCTGAGTCTGCCTTCAGTACGGCAGGAGATATATATAGTCCATATCGTAGAAGCTTATTTTATTTAAAAAATCTAATATTATATATTAAATATTACAATTTTATAATTCATACCAACATAAAATGGATATATTATTAAATATATTTTTTTTATTATAGTCTTAATTGTAGAAATAAAAAATTAAATTAAATTCATAATTCGATTTTTTGCATAAAAAATATTGATTTCTTAATTACATTTGGTTCAAACGGGGGTGATTAAAAATCAGTATAAATATCGGATCGGTTTTGAAGCAATATCGGATCGGATGGTGAAAAATATGTAGATCGGCACAGCCCTACTTTTTTTTATAAAAGTATTGCTGTTCTATTGTTAGATTCATTTTGGTCTTAACTTGTAATGATAATAAAACTATTAAAATGTTTTGTTATTATAATTCAATACATAAATCTGGAGCAGAAATTTGAATATTCATAAGCTTTAATAAACTATTTAGCAAATAGTTGTTCAAAGTTTTAACTGAATTAATATAAAAAGGAGGTGTTTGACAGATGTATTTAATACGAATGTTCTGGGATTTATACTCTTTAAAATTAGATTGATGTGCCATTTTTTATTTTCTTAGAGCTAAAAATTTTATAAAATTGTTTAAAACATATTTGCTAATTAATAAATATGCGAAATATTAGAGAAAATGAATATATATAAAAATAATAAGTAAAATTTGTATATTATAATATAATAAAATAGAATGAAATAATATTTATTCAGGGACGCATCTCTGAACGTTCTGGAACTTGGAATTGGGAACAGAACAGGAATAAAAAACTCAAAGTGCCCTTCTTCCGGGCTGCTGTATGTGCACATTATATCTGAGATAAACGACCTATGACTAAAAAGCAAAAAAAAAAGAAACATGATTTGATTATATGCGAAGATCATCTATCCAAAACGATGAAAGGCATTGTTCAATAAACATTAAACGATTACCTTTCTCTGACATGAATAATTTATCAGTCATGATGGTACATAGTGCCGAAAGATAGCTCTAATTCAGCTCAGCAAGTGCATGAACAAATGACTCGAGCATTGAGGTCCGAGATTATATTTTTTTCTGTAACCTTAGAATTCGGTCCATTCATTTTATAGTCAATCTCAAAAAAGGTATTTACCAACTTGGCACCAAGATCAAGAAAATTTATTGCTGAGATTTATAAATCGATTTGTGTTTGGAAGTGTAAATTTGCTTTTGATGGCCATTTAAAAAGGGAAGACGGTCTATCCAAACATTATAATGACTATGTTCCTGCAACAAATGTGTTTTTTAGAAATATAAACAGACATGGGCGGGCTTTTTATAAATATTATAACCATGGAGCAGACACCCTTTATGTTATGGACCTCCCTTTTTAAAACAAATATATTTATTGATAATTCTTCCTTCATTAACCTTTTTTCAACGATAAAAGGATGGGTGATATTTACCCATCGCAAATTACCCCCCCCCCACCCCATTTATGTACTTATATTTATCGCATCAGGATGTAAAAATTTGAGGTAAATGAATGTTGCTAACATCTTATAAATATACTAAACATGTGTTATCATAAATCGAACACTTGCTAAGGTACTTGTTTTATTCGCAACGTTTTAAAGAAAATTAGATACCCCTCACCCCCACCCCCCTAAAAATTTAATTTGATATGAGAACCTTATAATAGCCATATTTATTCAGCAACCCAACTTATACAATAACCTAATATTTTACCCTGAACATTGTATGTTAAAGTAGTACCCGCCCCATGACAGCTTGGCTCTATGGCTTCCCCATTCAGTTCTTTCTACATCCCTATCCTACCCTAATATAATTATCTAATTTAAAAAAACACATGTAGAAACCATTCCTGCCACTTTAGCCTTCCACACAAACTACAGCAATGGGACCGACAATTTAATCGATTTGAGTCGCGCATATAATCCAATTCCTGCTGCCCTTTCTTCTTCCGGGACTAGCAAAAACGCAATGGAAAACACATCGCACGACAACAACACGTCGCCCAACAACAATTGTCACGAGACCGCCGGAGTTTTAGACGGAATGCCCGAGGCTCTACTACTCAAATTGGGCATAAACCCAGATAAGTTAGAGGAGATAAAACACTGGAGCCTGTCGACGCTCAAGTGCACGAAACAGTTGGTACTTCAGCACTTGGGTAACGGCGTTCGGACGATCGATCTTGATCTCGAATCCCGCGTTCAGGTACTCCGCGACACTAAACACAAGTACACTCAGCTGATAACGCTCGTGAGGGTCTTTTCGTCCCATCTTTACCATGCCAAGGAGGCCCAAAACTGTTTGAGCGAACTTTTCGGGGAACTGGCTCAAAAATCCCCTGAACTTCAGGTGAAAAAAGAATGAGATATATGTTGTTATGAAAAATCTGAATTGAATGCGTTTATTTTGGAACCACATTTTAAAATCATAGTGGGATGTGATGCGGCGTGATTTAACAGCTGATTGATTTTATATAAATCTTGAGATCGAATTTTTTTTATTATAAATTTTATCTTTATTCCAATCATAATGATAATCTAATAATTATTAATTATTACTAATAAAGAGATAAAAGATTTTTATAAACTATCGGCTGTTAATTTTGGGCTCACGTTTGACGCGATGTTTCGCCATTTATTACCTAATCTAGTTAATAAAAATAATTTATATTTATAATAATTTATTTCAAAATAAGTTATAATTAATCGCATTAATAAAATTTATGAACTCGATTCATCTGTTAAATCGCGTTCGTTCTTAATTCAGCCCTAGGCAACATTAAAACGTTTCCAATCTAGATGGCATTATTTAAATTTTAAAGGCCTTATAATAATGTAAATACATCAACGCTTCCTTCCATATCTCCCTTAAAAAAATGACGCATGCATCTAAATTTCGTAATAATTTATAAAGCGCGAATATTATCGTTGCATTTTTGAAGCGTTAAAAGAAACCTCATTAAATGTGACGCTTACATACAGCCCTAGAATATGTGTAGAATGTGGATAGGAAATCTCACGTAATTTGACGCCATATCAAACAGACAAAAATGTCCCTGACTAAGAGACGACCGGTCTGGTGTCATTTACACCCGGAATTCTAGAGAGAGAAATTAGGCCCAACAGATTATAGTTTATTTTTCGATCCGAACCCGGCCCTGCTTGAAATTTTTATTCATTTTTAGGTTCGAGCTGGGTTCGGCATTTTTTGAATAGAAATTTAATCCCATTCCCGACTTAGGGCTGACTTCCAGGACTCTAAGGGAAATATACTAATATTTAAACTTTGTCAAAAACATTAAATTCTAAAATTTACAAATTTTATCGAAAAACGCGAAATAAGAAAAAAAATATGGTGTTTCAAGACACAGCTTTATTTTATAGTCGCTAATGTTCTAACTAAATTTATTATTTACATAGGTGTTTCGCTTAATTGTTTATTTAGGTGTTTCGGCACCATTTTTCTTTTTTTAAATTTAGATATTTTTTATAAAATTAAAATTTTTTTTATATTATTATTTTTTTCCATAATTTTAATTACGTTTCTTATATTATAATATCATGTATAAATAACCTTATATCTTATTATAGGCGAAATGTTATTTAATATAAGAAAGTTTATTTATAATCGATAAATTTAACGTAAGGAATTATTGTAATTTAAGAAGAGAAGAAAAAAATTACTAATTTTTTATTGTATTTAAACGCAAAATAGACCGAAGGCTCATCCGCCTCGAGGCTCGGTCCGAATCAAATAAAAAAAATTACATGGGGCCGTTGACTCTGTCTGTTCCTATTTAACATTTATATTTTAAAAATAAAACAAATATTGGAAAATTAGGAAGAATTTTCTTATAACGCCGAAACGCAAAAAGTTATCAGCAGGAATATGGAATCCTTCATTCAAGCGTTAAATTTTTTCGTCTCCAATATCAGCACGCTTGTCAACAAAACCATTGAAGACACGCTTCTCACAGTCAAGCAATATGAATCCATTAGGTGTTTATTTTATATAAGATATGTATATATGTTTGAAAATTCGAGAGATAAAGAAGGGATAGAAAGAAAGGATTCTCGACTTTAAGATCAGAAACCCGGGTCGGTCTTAATTGGACCTTCTTTATTAGAGCCGTTTAGGAATATGATTTGATTTGGAGCCAAATATCCCTTTTTTTCGATCTTTCCATCATTGTTTTTTAAAAAAAGGCACATTATATTTTTGAATGTGCCAAAATTTTGAAATCGATGCCGGGTCGTAAAATGACCACCGATTATTAATTAACCTGGTTGGCAAATGGATCCTTTTTTTGGGTCCCCGAGAAACACAAAAGCATACGTACCACAATTATATCGTTAGTGTTTTTGCTAGGGATGTACCGATATATTTATTGGATCGGATCGGGCCGTTATTTCACCCATTTTAAAGTATCGGTTATAGGCCAATATTATAAAATTTGCCGATCCGATTAGATATAGAATAGCGTCTTTAACAAAATAAAATGTTATAATATTTTTTAAAAAAGTTATATCTAAAATCATTTATTTTTATAAATAAAATCGAAATCCATTTTTATATGTAATTTTTTTAATAATAATTAATTAGTAAACATTCTTTCATATTGTTATTTTTTTGCGCATTCTGTTTATAAAAGTGTGCGTTGATAATCTCTTCAGAATCTGTTTTTAGTGAAGCTGGTGATATTGATAGTTACCATCGCCGCAGGCTGACCTCTGATAAATTGGAAATATTGGTATTTCTAAAAAGAAATTTTCGATATATTAATGCTAAATATTATTTTAAATATTTATTTTAAATTTCTTAATATATTTGTTTATTACTTATTTTGTATATAGATTAATGTTATTATTTATTATATAAAAGTGATTTAACAATAAAAATATTTTATATAATTTTAAAATTGCAATTGAATTGAATATAAACTATAACTGATCATTATAATATATTTAAATGACATAAGTTATGGTATAGTTAAATTATAGATGTTATACTAATAAAAAGTATATTAAAAATTAAAACCATTGGTATCTTTACATAATACAAAATTAAATATGATATCGGATCGGTAACCGGCCGATATTAATTTAATATCGGATCGGTAACCGGCCGATATTAATCTATTATCGGATTGGATCGGATCGGCCTATAAAAAATGGTATCGGTACACCCCTAGTTTTTACTTTGTGTTGGACACAAAAATTTTCCTTAAATACATTTAGGTAGTAAACCTAACTTAATAAAAATGAACATACATATATATTGGAGTTGCACCGACACAACCATTATAGCGATTAGGGGAAGAGAGCAAGGATATAATGGCCCCAATATTGGCGCATTTCTGATACATATTACGATAGTAAGATTTAGAAAATTAAAATAAATTTTAATAATTTCCTAATACGCTTGCAGCCCTTAAGGCCAGTGAAAATTTTTTATCAGGTCTTTTGTATTTATTTTTTTACCCAGCTCAGCTTTTTAATAATCTAGATTGATATAAGTATATGTTCTCTATATTATAACCTTAGCTCGCATCACTATGGTATATCTTTAGAGCCCTTACTACAAGGGGCCATTTTGCGAAATGGTTTTTTTGCTTTTTATGCTTATACATACATTAATTTTTTTATTACATAAATTATGCTTAATATTCCCTAATTCGGTCATTTATTACAAATTATATATTTTACTATAAATCTATTACGTAAGGTATTCCTTAATTCATAATTCATTGTTTATTCACGAAATTGCATTTTAGAAATGGCGAATTTACTAATATGTTAATATTATTCTAATCCTAAATAAAGTTTTAGATGTAAAAAATATTAACCTAAAAATTTAACGTTATCTGTGTATTTTAGTTTTATATTTATTTACCTTTTATTTTTTTAATTCTCAATTTTCGCGAATTTTATATGGGTGTCGTTACCCTACTAAATTTAAAAAAGGGCTTTTGAGTTAAAACAAAAATATCAAATTTTATGAATATAACAAAAACACTTTTTTGTTTAGTTACGTGATATTGCCACTAATTAGAAAATGGGCAAATTTGCTCACAACGCCTCGTGAAAATATTTTATAATTAGGGATGTTTTTTTCAATTATTTTTTTTAATATCATTACAAAACCATATAGAAAATAAAATCTATTAATATTTTTTTGGATATTATTTTTAAATTGAGTTTATAGAAATATTTTTATTTTATTATTTTTTTTAGAAAATTAATTTAATACATTTAATTTCTTAGTGCTAAATTTCGTTTAATAATGATTTTTAAGCTTATTTTATTTTTTTTCGCCGTTTTTTCTCGTTTTTTAACATTTCATTTATAACATGTGATGTGTAATTAATATTTGTAATTTATCATTACTTTAGTAATGTCTTATATATAGCAGTGATTCACGAACCTTGAACCCCTAACATGGTTAGACCCATTTTTTGATGAACTGGACTAAATTCGATTCCTTTTAACTATTCGGCTTAAAATCTAACATAAAAACATATAAAATGGGTTCGGTTCGGCGTCAATAATATTTAACATCATCCGATTTAAATTTTATTATTTTGACTAAACATTTTTACCAATAAGTAACGAATCTAAAGCTAGTTATATATTTACAGGGACCCGAAGTGAACCGGAATGACCCGTTAAACCTTTATAAATTCTAAACTCTAACCAAACCGATATAATAATTTTTTGAAGGAGTAAAAAGAACCTTTATAAAAAGTTAAACCGGTTTCAGCCAAAATAAAATAAGTATTTTTTCATTTTTTTCCCTGTGGTGTATTACATATTTTACCATATCTGCGTCGTTATTTATAATTATTAAATGAACAAAATATTTGTTTAATATCCATAAGATATGTATTAATTGTTTCCCTATGACTTAAATTGGTGGAAATTTTATGTCCCCAAAAAATTTTCTGATCCACAATCTATTAACTTCTTCATATAGTATTTGAGCACTCCTCTTTTCTCTATTTTAGTATGCAAAATATTTAATTTATCAATTTTTGATTTAGTTTCATTTATTTAATTAAACTAAAAAATATCAGTTTTATGTATTGGAAAAAAATTTGAATATCCAGAATTATATAAATGCTCTTATAGTACTTGCGGTTCCCGTAACACAAATTTCTGTTGGAAGGGCCTTTTCGGGGCTAATATTTATGTCATTATCACACTAACAAATATGAATCCACTTATATTAAAAAATATATACATTCAAATAATATATTTAAAAATGAGTATTCTTACATATTTTTTTATATATATTATTCATAGTATAAATAAAATAAATTAATTTCATATCTATTTTATAAATAAACAATAACCTAAGTTATAGCAAAAATTTTATATTCATAATTAAAATCATTATACGATGGTGTTGCTTCATTAAAAATAATTTTAAAAATATCTAATATTAATGAACCTTTACAATTAACTGAACCGAACCGTAACTTTATAAATTTTTTCTTAAGAACCGTAACCATTATAATTTTTTGCATACTGAACCGTTATAAATAAAAGTTCGGGTCCCTGTATATTTATGACAAACTAAATTTATTCCCAAATTTAAAATTAGTGTTTATTAAATATAATATCTCACATCAAGCACTCCTTCGGCAAATTTGACTAGGGAAACTTATTTTTTTGTGAAAATTAGCACATCTTTTAGACATTAATTTTGAAAATAGATTATTGTTTAAATAAAGTCAAATGAAAATTCATAAATTTAAATTTTTTATGAAATTTTTATATCGTTTCGGTGCAAGTATATAAATAATATATTGTGATATTTATTTTTCGCAAATTAATTTTACCACTATAGTATATTTTAACCAGTGCAATTATTTCTTTATATAAATTGTATTTTTATGCAAATTAATTTGATTAAAAATTTTAAATCGCTAAATTATTTCGTATAAATAAAAAAAAATTATATTAAAAATTCCGAATTACATAAATATTTTATAAAGTAACTTGGTAACTATTTGTATTTATAGCCCAGAGTTGTTAATCGCTGCTTTTAAAAGTAGCGCGCTACCGCTATCGTTATTTATAAAAAAAGTAGTGCGCTATTAGCTACTTTTTATAATAAATTTGTTTTTTTTTGCCTATAATGTTATTGTATAGTAAATATATAAAAATCAACATTTATAAATATTAAAATATAGTTAGTTTTGATTATAAAAAAATTTATGTAATAAAAATAAATATTTATGGTAATTTGTTGCATTTTATAAGTTTTTACCTTTTGTTATGTGTCCAACTATCTGCCGTGGTACATATATATGATATATCTGATAACTCTACTATTAGAGCATCTTTCATCATTTTAAAGTTATCTGGTATTTTATTCATTAGTGTCTGGCGACATTAAATTGTTGTACCAGTGGATAGATTTTTAATCATCATGGTAAATGATGGATTATCAACCAAGGACATTGGCTGAACTGTATCAATTATAAAATCAACAATAATTATCAGCCAATTTCTGAGAAATATTGGCATTGTATTATTAATTAATTTGGTTTGAATTGAATTAGTCTTTTTGGATGTAGAGCCGCCTATTCTAAAATTATTTAGATGTTTCTCCATTTCCTTAAAACTATTGGCATGAACAGTCTTATAAAAAATACTATTAGAATGTAAAAATGACAATTTACCTTTAGGTGTTTCTTGAGGTTATAACTGATTGATTTGAGGAAATATTTTTACATTTAAACAAATAAATTTGAAGCCAGTTTTTAGTTTTTATATTTATTTAAAAAAATTTTTCAAATCTAGGGAATGGGAAATTTGTATTATAGCTATTAAGAACATTTTCTTCCCTGGTATCTTCCGTTTCATTAATATTGTCTGAATCACTTTCAACGATTTGGATATCCATAGGCGATGACATTTTAAATTATTAACAGATTTAGGTTTATAATACAAATGAAAATATAAATTACAAATTGAAAATATATTTCAATTTC